CTGTAATCTCAGCACTCAGGAGGCTGAGCTGATCGCCATGAGTTCAAGGCCAGCCTGAGCTACACAGTGAATTCAGGACCAGCCTCAACTGCATAGTGAGACCCCGTCTCAAAATAAAACAAACAAAACGGTAGCAAAGAATATTCAAGTAAACCCATCAGAAGCACAGTAACAGCTGTAAAAAGAACCAGAGAAAATAATGTTTACCTGAAAAGTGAATTCTGCAGATTAGCTCCTGCTTAAGTGCCATAGAAAAGGTATTAAACTGTATCCTCAAAAAAATTCTCATGAGTTGCCTTATTACTGGGGAGATTAACTTAACTCACAAATGTTTCATCTACAGTGGCAAGAAAAGGTTTATTTTATACACACTAGTACCTCTTTTTTTCCCCCCCTTTTTATCTGGTACCGGAAATCGAACTCACAACCTTGCGCTTGCTGGGCAGACGCTGTGCTGCTGAGATAAATCCCCAGCCCCAGTACCTCTTTTTCTATAAAGCTCTATTGCCTAATATTTCTTTTCTTAATCTGATAATCAAAATTTCACAAATCTCGCTTTAATTCCTCTTTCTAAAAGGAGCCCCCCACCACTGCAATATGTGGATATACCATTCCCCAACATGAATGTAATTACTATACATGCAAACATATACTAACAAAAAAGAAAAATTTATCCCTTACCACTTCACTCATTTTTCATGGCACAATGTAGCTGGTGAATAAACAGCAGCAAATGACATTTCTCTCCAAGCAGCAACACCTACCTAAACTTTATCTTTTTACATGAAAGTCCTACAGTCTTTCCAAGAACCAACACAAGGTTCAATCCTCCTTTAAAAAAAAAACTACTTTCTCTGAGAAATGAGAAACCTGAGAAATACCTTCACACATTCTTCTTTCCTAATTTAAAGTCCAATTCAGTATCAAGGATCATGACTTACAATCTTATTATGCATCACAGCAATATACAGACAACCTAACACCAAGGAAAGAGCCAAGAAATAAAATACACCTCTGATAAGAATCATTACATACTGTGGAGGAAAGGGAGAGAAAGTGAAAATAACCAAGATGTGTTATGTACACGTACCAACTCCCCACAATGAATGTAATCATGCACTGCAAACATGTAATAAAAGTAAATAATTTTTTAAAGTTACAATTAAAAAAAGAATCATTACACACCAAGAAGCTAAGAAACACATCTGAAATTAGGTAACAGAAAATAGGGCTCAATTTAACATAATTCTCAAACGTTACAAGCCAGATTTGAATTGTTCATATTTACCAACTATTGTTTTCTTATACATGGAAAACATTTCCTCCACAAGATATAAGCAAAATATAGTATGTACTAACTCAATTTACAAAGACAGTAGCTAAAGAACTCACCAGAGAAGTTGCCATGAATGGCAAAGCTGATGCCAGTGGCTCGCTGCAAGGTCAAATTGTACAGGAACATGATGACAGCAAAACTGAGTCCCTCAGTATTCCAGGCCTTGCTTTATACCAACAAGATCAAGTCAAAGCAAGCTAAGGACACAAAATCAGAAAAGCAACTGAGCAATTGTTATTTCTACAGAAAGTTTTACATAGAGCTATCTAGGTAAGGAAGCAGAATTAACAGAGTAAGGCCTATTGAAGAGTACCACACACATAATCACTGCTAGGAGTACTTTCTATATACAGGACCACACCCCATGCTATCAGCTTTGCTTTTTTTTTTTGGAGATAGAGGGTCTTCCTACATAGTCCAGACTGGCCTCAAACTAGAAGTGATCATCTTCTAGTGATGATCACTTCTAGGCCCCCCGAGTGCTGGGATTACAAGCATGTACTACCATGCCCAGCTTCTGCTTTGCTTCTAGTTTCACAACAATCTTTTAAAGTATGCAATTTTACACTCTTACCAATTTAATAGGTAAGAAAACTAAGGCTTGGATATTAATTAAATCACTTAGCTGGACAGAGTGGCACTCAGTCTAAGAGGGTGAGGTAGAAGGATAGCAAGTTTGAGCACAGCCTGGGTAACAGCAAGACCCTGTCTCAATGGGCTGAGGATACAGCTCAGCAGCACAGTGTGTTCCTGGTAAGCACAAGGTCCTGAGTTCGATTCCCAGTACAAAAAAAAAAAAAAAAAAGACCCTGTCTCAAACCTGTTTTAAAAAACACTGAGGATTTATGTAGTTTAGTGCAAAGCCTCTTGTTTCAATCTCCAGTACCACCTCAAAAAGGTCACTTGCCTAGTACATAGGAAATGGTAATATTTATATTTTTTTATCAAAAAACTACATAGATCTATGTTTATATATAGTATTAACATGGTTCAGTATTCAAAACCCAACTCTTCCTGGGGGCATCAATTTCACCAAATTACATTGTATCCATCTGTGATTTATGTATATGTATACATATATGCTATATGTTTTACCTCCTTTCTTTAACCAAAGGCTGGGTACTATATTTTATACCCATTATACTGCAACCTATTTTTTTAAATTTAACCACCTTCAGATAGCAATTTTACAGCTGCAGAGTATTCCAATGAATAGTTAGAAGTTAGTTAGCCAAAACTCTACTAATGAAGATTCAAGTTGTTTCCAATCTTTTGCTGTTATTAACAGGGCTGCAAAGAAAATACCTCACTTGTATATGTGTGAGTTTATCGCTCAGATTAATTCCTATAGGTGGAATTGGTGAGTTCAGGGATTCATACATATGAAAGGTGTTAAGGTTTTGTGAGACAGGGTCTCACTGGGTAGTTCAGACAATCCTTGAACTCACTGAACTTGCCATGTAGCCCATGCTGGCCTTGAAATTTCACTTCTCCTGACTCAATCTCCTGAGTGCTACAATTACAGTCATGTGCAGCATGCACATGAAATGTTGAGATACTGCAAAACTGCCTTTTAAAGAAACCCTACTGCCAGGTGTGGTGGCACACACCTGTTATCCCAACACCTGGGAGGCTGAGGCAGAAGGATTACTGTGAGTTCAAGGCCAGCCTAGGCTACATAGCAAGTTCAAGGCCAGGCTATGAGAGACAGAGACAGAGACAGAGACAGAGACAGAGAGACAGAGAGAGAGAGAGAGACCCTACCAATTCACATGCCCTGTAATGTGAGTTCCTGTTCCCTCAAAACCCAATTTACGTTTTAAGACTTTTGACCTATGCTAATCAAACAAATGACTTTGGTATCTCTGTGTAGCTTTCTTTTGCACCTGATATACAGCTCTATAATCAAGGAGTGGTTAGATTGGGGGAAGGTTGTTGCTGTTGTGTAACACAGGGTCTCACTTTGTAGTGCAGGCTGGCCTTGAACTCACTATGTAGGTCAGGCTGGCCTCAAACTGGCTGTGATCCTCCTGCCTCAGCATCGAGTGCTGGGACTACAAGCTTGTTCTCGTAAATATTGCTTCTGGGCCGTCCCTGCTTGCAATGCAACAAAGTCAATCATCCAGTCTAGAAAAGGATCCAGAATGGGAGATTTCCCTACATACCTTTATATTCCCCTAGGGTCACAAACACAGAAAAAAAATTGGAGAAACCATCAGCTAACTCTGAAACCCTGAACAGCTCCCAAAGAGCTGTTTTGCTTTCACTGCAATTGAATGGAAAAACTCAGGCTATTTCCCCGGGTGGTTTTTGTTTTTTTGTTTTGTTTTTTTTTTTTCGTGCCAGGAATCGAACTCATGACCTCAAGCTTGCCAGGTAAGGGTTTATGCCGCTGAGCTATATCCCCAGCCCTTGCCCGGGTTTGTGTTTTTTTTTCTGTTTCTGTTTTTGTTTTTCTCCGGTACCGGGAATCGAACTCAGGACCTTGCGCGTGCCAGGCAGGCGCTGTGCTGCTGAGCCAAATCCCCATCCCCTGCCCGGGTTTTTTTAATGGCTACTACCCACTACAAACCTAGGGATTCATTTTCCCCAAATCTAGGTGGATCCAGGTTCTCCACCTACACTTTTACCTTGGCTAAGGAGAAAGGTGCGTTCTGGAGGAAGATCAGTCACTACTAAAGAACTATGTACCAGGCAACAGTAATACTTAAAACTTGGGAGGCTTATACTGCAACTTTCCCCCAGGTCTAAGAGAGTACTGAGATTACTACAAGGATCTTGTGGGCTAGCTCACTCCATGTCTTCTCCATGTACCAAAGTGTAATCATCGCATTCTGACTGCAATGTTTTCTACATAGAAAAAAATACCTTATTTTGCACAGGGGAAAACTGAGATTCAGAGAACGAAACACGTTGATTACCAGTGCACACAAACGGAAACCAGAGCTCTGGCTCCAACCACTGTCTCTGTTACTTATACTTTCTAAGTCTTTCCACCTTCTGGTTTACGGTTTCCCGCGGCGGATGTCCTTCCCGCTCGTTTTCATAGCTCCCACGTCTCCCAGGCCACGGGGCTACAAACGGGACACTTTCTACAAGCCTTATTTTGAGCCAAGCCTCGTTCCCACTCTGTGGACGGCTCAGGAAAAGATAACAAAAAGCCGTTTTCGCCGCGGATGCATTCCCGTACACGTCCTTGTGCCCTAGCACAAACACTCCGGCCTAAAGTGCCGCGGAGACTCCCGCCGCAGTGCCGGAGACCCTCCTACGTGGCCGCTCTCAACTATCCCAAGGCCGGAGAAGTCGTAAGGCTACTTGTTTACCTTACAGCGGGAAGGATGGCGTAGGTATCCGATGGATCCTGAATCCTCCGAAGCCTAAACCACTATCACCGTTAACCCACCGGCGTCCGCCATTAGCCCTCAAGACAGGGGCCTTCCGCCTGCGCGCGACGGAAAAAGGTACCCAACCCGCGCCTGAAGAATGTATCTATAAAAATTTTTAAGTGCTTCCGTCAGCATTTAAAAATTATTTGAAAATACAATATTATTCTAACTTTACAGGATGATAGAAAATTGATGGGTTTTTTTTTAAGTAGGTTTAAAAATGTTAGTTGGGCACTACAGTAGGCAGCCCAAAGGTCCCGGAGCGCCAACGGGGAAGGAAACTCGCTGGCCCGGAAGTGACGGATGAGGACCAAGATGGCGGACCTCGAGTCACTTGAGAAGTTAGCAGGGGTCTCCCAGCCATCAGAGGGGGTGGGGGGAGCCCGCTGCTCCGAAATCTCCACCGACCTTATTCGATCCCTGACTGAGCTGCAGGAGCTGGAAGCTGTGTACGAACGGCTCTGCGGCGAGGAGGTGGGGGGCTGAGCCGCTTTCTCCAGGAGGACGCAGGGTCGTCGGGCATAGGAGCCGTCAGTTTTGGGAAATCCGGGTTTGGGGGAGCTCTCTCCTTACTGGGGGAAATAAAAAAGCACCTGGCAAAGAAGCTTGAGCATGTAGAGGTATTGGAGGAGGTCTGTCTACTTCGTTCACTCTGTCAGATGCCCTAAGCTTGTATTCCCTGATACCTGTGCGATCTGCACCTTCTTTCCCCAAACCCGACGTTGATTTCCTTGGTGCGCAGTCACTGTAGTATTTATCCCCCTGAGCAACGTTAGACTGAAGTATGCGGCAGTCTCTTAGTGCTCCAAATAAGAATTGCACGGGCGTAGAAATTGAAAATTATGGAACATCTCCCGATATCTCATTTAGGCGAGAAGTCACTGCGAATGAATTTGAATTTTCAGACTTCCTCTTGTAGGAAATGATTTAGGGGTGTAATTTTAGCGTTTCGGTTAAGTTTTGGTGTTCAGCTTTGTAGGCAAGTTGAGTGTGAGAGTGTGTGTCTCTCGGGGTCTCTTTGGGTGCCTCATAGTGGCCTGGAACTTGGGGTCCTCGTCCTTCGCCTTTCAAGTAACTAGGGTTGCAGACTCAGACCATCATTTCTGGCTAGGACTTTTAAGATTGAGGCGTAAGTGTTTAGTTTTTTTTTTTTTTTTTTTTTTTTTTGTCTTTTTGAGACAGGGTCTGGCCATGCAGTTCAGGCTAGCCTTGAGCTCGCTCACTTTGTAGCACAGGCTGGCCTTGAACTTGCCACAATCCTCCTGCCTCAGCCTCCCAAGTGTTGGGATTATAGGCATGCGCCACCATGCCTTACGTGTTTTTGTTTTTGTTTTTGTTTTTTGAGTACATGGAATCAGCTCAAGACCTCACACTTGCCAGACAAGCACTGTACCAGTAAGCTAAATCCCCAGCCCTAACCATCTAGGCTTGGACAAGTCACTTCATCTCTTATACCTGTGATGTTCTGATCTAAAAAGTTCAGCAGCTGTTTTTCCAAACCAAACTTTTAAGTAAGTTTCAGCACAGATGAGCCTTGGAGGGAGGACATTGACATATTTAAATATTTTCAAATATTAAATTGCATTAGGCTGTGCATGGTGGTGCACACCTATAATCCCTACACTCAGGAGGCTGAGGCAGGAGGATCATTGCAAGTTCAAGACCAGCCTGGGCTACAAAGTGAGCTGAAGGCCAGCCTGAACTGCATAACAAGACCCTGACTCAAAAAGACAGAAAAAAAAATTACATCAATGCAGCCACGCATGGTGATGCACACCTCTAATCCCAGCACTTGGGAGGCAGAGACAGGAGAATCACTGAGTTCGAGGCCTGCCTGGACTACCTAGTGAGTTCAAGACTAGCGTGAACTGCATAGTGAGGCCCTGTTTCAAAAAACAAACAAAAAAAATGCATCAACTCTAGCAGTTTCTGATACTATTTTCAGCAACATGTGTTTGAAAACTTAGTGTTCTTGACATAACATTCCTAGTTTTGCACTCAGTGAGTCAATCAGTACTTTGGAGGGCAAGACATGGTGGCACAGGGACCTGTAATTCCAGCCTTCAGGAGGATCATTGGAAGTTTGAGGCCAGCTTAGACTACATAGTGAGACCCTGTCTCAAAAAAAATAAAAAAAAAAGGACTGCAGGTATAGATCAGAGGCACAAACACCACCCTGGCAAGTGCAAGGTCCTGAGTTCGATTCCCAATACCAAAAAAAAAAAAAAGAGGAAAAATTAAGGAAATCTCATAGATGCAACAGTGGTAACAGTGTTGTTTCTGTATTTATAGTTGATGACTGCCAGGGAAGGTTGCCCTCTGGATACTGTTTTGATAAAAACGAACAGCTAAGCCTGTACTCTGTTAAGCAATTTGTGTATTACCTTGTGTGATTTCCACAACAGCCCTGTGGCTTGTTTTACAGAAGAAACTGAAGCATAAGAAGAGTACATAAACTAAGTGAGCACAGTAAATAGTGTAACCAATACAAAGTTGTATTTATTCCCTCTGAGTACTGACTATGAACCGAGAAAACCATTTTTGTTTTGTGTTTATGACTGCCACTTTGTAAATTTCATTTATTTACCCACTGCAATTTCAATCCTATCTGTATGAGATGCTGTGCTAATGATAGCAAATAAAAGTTTATTTCTTCCCAGTGTGGTGGTCATATGCTGGATGGAATAAGATATGCATAAGGTAATGGTCATTATGCAATGTATAAGTGCATGTAAGTGAAGCATTTAAGTCCAAGGGAGCATAGTGGAAGGAAAAAAAGAATGTGAAATGGTATTTGCCTCTCAGCTAAGTGGTTGGTTTGGGTAGCTTTTAAGCTTCCTTCTTATCATTCTGATGACAGGATGTTTCCCTGTGTTTCAGAAAGTGGTGGAAAGAGAGCTGGATGCTCTTTTGGAACAACAGAACACCATTGAAAGTAAGATGGTCACTCTCCACCGGATGGGGTGAGTCTCTGCATCCCCGCAGCAGCTGTTGTAGATTCCAAAAGCAGGGCTGGGGATATAGCTCAGCGGCACAAGTGCCTGCGTAGCGAGTGCAAGGTCCTGAGTTCAATTCCCAGTATCAAAAAAAAAAACAAAAACAAAAAATTGAACCAGGTGTGTTGGCACATGCCTAGAATCCCAGCACTCGGGAGTGCTTTGTTGTTTTTGTTTTTTTGTACCGAGAATCGAACTCAGGACTTTGTGCATGCCAGACAGGCACTTATGCCACTGAGCTATATCCCCGGCCCAGGAGGATCATTTCGATTTAGAGGCCAGGCAGGGCTACAAAGTGAGCTCAAGGCCAGCCTGAACTGCATAGTGAGACCCTGTCTCAAAAAAAAAAAAAAAAAAAAAAAGTTAAGTGAATACCTAACAGTATAGTTCAGTGATTTATTAAAGAGTTTTTGAAACTTATTAGAAATACAGTTCTGGGGTCCCAACGAAAATTTCTGAATCAGAAACTCTGGGAATGGAGCCCAGGAATATGTATTTTAACAAGACATCTAGGTGATTGGGCATAGTGCAAATTTGAAAGCCATTGCTTTTATAGATTTTGTGTATTTGCTAATCATAAAAGTTGCCCTTTGCCAGGTGTGTGGCATGCACTGTAATCCCACCTACTCTGGAGGCTGAGCCAGGAGAGGACCAAAAGATCAAGGCCAGCCTAAGAAACAGTGAGATCCTGTCTCAAAAAAGAAAAGACTAAGCCTGGTGGTGTAGTGGTGCACACTTCTAATCCCAGCACTCCAAGAGGCTGAGGCAGGAGGATTGCCGTGAACTCAAGGCCAGCCTGGACTACAAGTTCAAAACTAGCCTGAACTGCATAGAAAGACCTTGTCTCAGGAAAAAAAAAAAGAAAAGAAAAGCCTGGGGATGTAACTCATGGTAAAGTGCTTACCCAGCATACACAAGGTCCTAAATTCAATCCCCAGTACCCACCCCCAAAGTTTCTCAGCATCCTCTCAGGTTGTTGGTTAGTAGTTTTTGTTTTGTTTTAGTTTTGTCTTTTTTTGAGGCAGGGTTTCGCTATGTAGCCCAGGCTGGCCTTAAACTCATGGCATTCCTCCTGCCTCAGCCTCCCAAGTGCTAGGATAACAGGTGTGCACCACCACTCCTGGCTGTTGGTTAGTAGTTTTTAGGCTCAGTTTAGCAATTGAAAGAATCTGTTCTCTAGGTCTTTGGCTATATCTGTTCAGGAGTGACTCTGATAGTTTCAGCACTTAATTTTTTAGTCAGGTATCTCAAAGTAGAAATTAAAAGGGCTAAGGCTGTAGCTTAGCATTCACTAAGTTCCATCTCCAGGTGTGCAAAAAAAAGGACAAAGACACTAATTTTTTTACTAAGTGTATGTGAGTTCACAATAAAATACTCTTGGAGAAAGCTGTGTGTAGGGTGAACTAAGCTGAGTTGCATAGAAATATAAGACACAGTCTCCATCTACAAAAAACTGTTTCCATCTTGTACTCCTACCCTCTGGCCCAATGGATATGTATGTGCGGACGATGTCTGTCTCCAGGCCCAACCTGCAGTTGATTGAGGGAGATGCAAAGCAGCTGGCTGGAATGATCACCTTCACCTGCAACCTGGCTGAGAATGTGTCCAGCAAAGTCCGTCAGCTTGACCTGGCCAAGGTAATCCCATTGTGCTTTTGATGTCTGAGTTAATAGAGCTCAGGAAAGAAACCACCATCTAAAGGTTAGAGCAGCACTATCCAATAGAAATCTAATATGAAATACTACACCCAGACAAAGATATCGCCTGGAAAACTCAGGCCAATTGCTCTTACGCATCTAGACATAAAATTTCTCAACAAAATAATGAAGCAAATCCAGCAATATGTAAAAAGGATTTTAGAGCTGGGTGTCATGATGCATGCCTATAATCTCAGCACCCAGGAAGCTGAGGCAGGAGGGTCACTGCAAGTTCCGGCCAGCTTCAGCTACATAGTGAGTTCAAGGCCAGCCTGAACTACATAATGAGATCCTGTGTCAGAAAAACAGTAGCCAGGCATAGTGGCACATGCCTATAATCCCAGCATTTGGGAGGCTGAGGCAGGGGAATCATCACGAGTTCAAGGCCAGCCTATGCTACATGAGTGAGTTCAAGGCTAGGTTGAACTACATAGTGAAACCCTGTCTAAAAAAAAAAAACCCAATACTCAAAACCTTAGAACCAAAGGGAACATTCTCAGCCTGATAAATCACAACTATGTAAATCCTACAGCTAGCAACATACTAGTGAAAGAAAGAATGCCCTCCCCATAAAGAACAAGATAGTGTTATATCCCTTCTAGCAAGGACAATCAGAGAAGAAAATAAAAGAGATGACCCATATTGAAAAAGAACAAATTTAATATAAACTACCTACATAATTTTAAATTGTCTTGTAGCCATTTTTTTCAAGACAGAATCTTGCTCTATAGTTTAGACTGGCTTCAAACTCACTATAGCCCAGGCTAATCTCAAATTCATAGTGACCCTCCAGATGTGGCACACATCTGTGATCCCAGCACTTAGGAGGCTGAGGCAGGAGGATCTCTTAAGCGTTCAAAGCCAGCCTCAGTTGCATAGTGAGACCCTGTCTCAAAAAAAAAAAAAACCTCACAGTGATCCTTCTGCCTTAGCCTCTCAAGTACTGGGATTACAGGCTTGTGCCTACTTGATTACAATGTCATGTTTCCAGAGTATCAGATACATCTTGATTCAGTTGTAAATTTTAACAACATAACCCAACTATAAATATGGATTATTTCCATACCTGCTTCCATTAAAATGAGTTATTTCCCTACATTAATAAAATCGTGTAGCCAGGTACGGGGATTCACATGTATAATTCCAGCACTCTGGAAGGCTGAGGTAGGATGATCACAAAAGGACTGGGGATGCAGCTCAGTGAGTTTATGGATTCAATCCCCAGTACCACAAAATGAAATAAAATCCATGTCTTATATGGATTCTTATATGAACAAGAAAACTTAATAAGAAAACATGTCTTATATGAATATAAAACTTCCAATGTCTTATGTCATTAAGTGAGTGGTAATAATGGTTCATGAGTTTGCCAGTTAAAGCTGAGAAGGACCTGTGGTTGGCCAGATTCAGCTCTGGAGTCACCCTACCTTCTGGAGAGGAGTTTTTGAAAGAAAGGACATTGTTTCTAAGCAGAGTCTTTTTGCAGAACCGTCTCTATCAGGCCATTCAAAGAGCTGATGACATCTTAGACCTGAAGTTCTGCATGGATGGAGTCCAGAGTGCACTGAGGAATGAAGACTATGAGCAGGCTGCAGCCCACATTCATCGCTACCTGTGCCTGGACAAGTCAGTCATTGAGCTCAGCCGGCAGGGCAAGGAAGGTTGGCATGTGAGAGTGTGGATTTCTAGTTTAGAGACAAGCATCTCTAATCTGAAAGAGGCTAACTCAACCAGGAAAAAAGCATGTGTTAGGAAGTCTCTTACCTGCCAATAGGCTGTATATAGATCCCCTGTCATCCCAGGGCAGATGTTGTTATTCCTATTTTATGGAAAAGGAAACTGAATCTGTATCTACTAATTCTTGGGCCAGTAGATTCTTTGCAGTTGACCATATTCCCACTTTTCTTTTTTTTTTTTTTTTTTTTTTTTTTTTTGTCCTTTCGAGCCAGAATCTCACTATGCAGTTCAGGCTGGCCTTGAACTCATTTTGTAGCCCAGGCTGGCCTCAAACATGCAGCAATCCTCCTGCTTCAGCCTCCCGAGTGCTGGGATTACAGGCATGCACTGCCACGCCCAGGCTCATATTCCTAAAATGAATTCTTCGCCTGATATTCTAGCCCTTCCGTAATCTTGACTCACCCTGTCTTTCTAGAGGCGTTCACTCATGCACCCACTCATTGCATGAATATTTGTTGAGTTCTTTACACCAGAAAATATACTACTTGTAATGCTCTGTAAATACTTTTCTCCTGTTTCTACTTTTGTTCCTTTGCTTATGTCATTCTCTTCTGCAGTATGTGTTTCCCCTACTCAGGTCTCAAACTCCTGCCC